ATTTTTATATTTTTAATAGTGTTAAATTATTATAAAATAAGTCTTTATGATTGTAGTTTTACCCAAACATTTAAAAAATGTCTATGATAGATAAATAAGTCATACTTAAGATATATATTTTTAAAGAAAGTTAGGTTCAAACCAACTAAATTATAATAAAATATAGTGTGACCTAATTTATTTTCATCTTTAATACTAATCGTAAATATAAAAAACTTGTAATAAATAATTATAATATATATTTACACTTTTAAAAGATATATAAAATTTTTAATACTACAAATATATATAAGAAATTAAAAATAATAAATTAAAAATAAGAAATTAAAATAAGAAATTAAAATAAGAAATTAAAAATAAGAATTAAAAATAATAATTAAAAATAAGAAATTTTCGACGGATTTATATTTCCGATAAATCCGTCGGAAATATAAATCTGTCAGAAATTTCTGTAAGAAATTTTCGACGGAATTTTCTATCGAAAAGTTTCTGTCAGAAATTTCTGACGGATTTATATTTCTGTCAAAAATTTCAAACGGAAAATTTTTGACAGAAAATTTTGTCAGAAATTATCGTGGTGTTAATTTTTTGAATTTATAATATAAATTAGTTTTTCAGATATATTATTTATTATTTTTTCCTTTTTATTTTAATATTTTTATAGTATTATTATAACTTTTTATTTGGTTACAGTTTTTCTTTCTCCCTAACATGCAACCACGATGGGATGTTTACAGCCAAAATGCATATAACAGGTAGCAAATGCAGCATGTGCAGTCATGAGATGTGTAAACAAAACGTCTAAGCATTTGACGTTTTATGTTCAATACGTTTGACAACTTGAGTTGCAGACTCATCACCTCACCATTGTTGACGTTTTGTTCTCATTTACATCTCTTTTATGTGTAGAAAATAATTTATTTTGGTTAATAGTTTTTTTTAACATATTCGAGTAATTTTTATTTTTTTTATTTATCATGGCCAAGTTGTTTTAAAAAGTCCGAGAATTCTTCAAATTTATTTTTAACCCTCTAATTATTTTATTTATAAAATTAATTCTTATAAAAATAGAATAAGTTGAGTTTGATTTTCGAAAGATATTAATTGCCTAATTCCAATTTGTTTAAAAAAGTCCTTACAAGTTGAGGAGTAAATATAGTTAAATTTTCATTTTATTAAATATTACAATGTTTATATGTTTGTGAGTGCTTATCATGAAAAAATCATCCACTGATAGAGTATATTTTTGGTCATTTTATTAGCCAAACACTTTTTTATTGTTTCAATTAATGTGAAATAATAAAATGAGAAATCTAGTATTCTATTTTATTATTATCATGAAGGTTTTTTTTAATAACAAAATAGAATAACAGATTTTCCATTTTATTATTGTAAAATTCTTCATACAATTAAAAATTGTTTAGCTAGTAAAATGACAAAAAAAAAATTGTTAGTAAATGTTTTCTAACATGATAATCACTAGCGAATTTATAAATATTGTAATATTAAATAAAAAAATATAATTATAAACTAATTTAAACGAAATGAAATTAGCATATCTTAAAACTAAACTAAATTTATTTTTTTTACAGAAAATATTGTATTTTTTTAGTCAATAGGACATTCTCACTCATGGGGCTAAAAAAATTATCAACTTCAACATATTTTAACGGAACTAATTTAATAAATAAAAAAGTGAAGAAAGTACCAACAAGAAATTTGAATTGTTTTAGAATGATTTTCTCATTATTTTTTAAGATTCATAACATGTATGTCTTTTATTAAATTTATCGTTTTTTTTCTTATTTTAATTATAACTATGTAATACATCATTCTTATTCTAATTAGATGTAATAATTAACTTTTAATAGATTCCAAATTTTAGTACATATTTTTAGGGAGAAAAGACACATTGGATCAAAACCAAAAAGAAAGATAAAAATGAATAAATAAGAAGATAAATCTTTCTCATTTATTTAAAAATCATTATCTCTAATAGTTAAGAAAATATTTGCTAGACATTTTCCCACTTAAACTTCTACTCCTTATTTACATCTCACATCACATGAGAGATCGATGGTTAAGGATTCGTTTTAGTTCATCAAGTACAAAGAGCCCAAACTTAAATAAATATGTGTATTTTAAAAATAATTTTTTTGATTTTTTTTTTTTTTTGAAAAGGTCACTTTGTTAAAAGCAATGATCAATCGCATGTATAAAATACAATCAATTAATTTGTACAAGAGCATTTTATCAGCTTTTCTTTGAAAAAGAGAATTTATAGAGATTCTTTTAACTTATTAAATTTGATTTTTATTTATTATAATTATTTATAAATAAAATTTTATTATTTTGAAATAAATTATCAATAAATAAAAATAATTTTATATAATTTTCTTAAAATTTATTTTGTTAAATAAAATCCTTTTGTTTTTCACTTTAACATATTTTATTATTTTAAAGTAATAACATTGTAATGTAGAAAAATATTTTGACATAGAGAAAAAATTATCGGCAACTATTATTTATTTAAATTGATGAGTAACTTACTCTTAAAACACATCTAAATTTTAAATAACACATTTAAAATGAAAATATCATAGGAAAAAAAGAAAAAATAGTCATTAGTTTAATTATTTATAATCATTCATTTATTTATAAATTAAAGTTTAATTTATAAATAATATAGAAAAGATTAATAAAAAGATAAATCTAGATAAATAAATAGTTAAACATGTAAAATCCCAACTTTTTTTTTAATAAATTAATAAAGATATTTTAATTTTATTAATTGGGATTATTTGTGGATAACGAGAGTTATGAGAGAATATTTTCTAAATTAATTATTATAGGTAATATATTATTTGAACTTTAAGAAATAGATAATTAACAATGAGATAACAAACTTTTACTAGCATAAGATATGGTTTAGTATTTCCTTATATAAATATATTAGTTGGGTTAAGGTTGCCTCACTTTATACATTGAGCATTTGTGAAATTTGAAGAAGAAGGAGAATTGAAAATAACCTTGGGGATACACATGTGGAATTTGTAACGACCCACTCTAGGCCGTCACATCCATAACTAATATATAAAAATAAAATAATATATAATAAAGAAAATAGAGCAAGGGCCAACTACACTAGAATGTAAATATACAATAACATATAAATTGTTTCTAAAATATATAACATATTTTTATAACAGAGTCATCATCCTCAATAAAGATTATACAGTAATCCAAAAAGATAATATAATTACAATATTATGAAAGTATCAAAATGAGACACCCTAGGTGCTGGTCAAGCTCTAAGTCTAGCCATCTCTTAAAGCAGTTACCCAAAAAGACTTCTTGCTATCGCAAAGCCTCACACCTAATCTGCTCCCCCACATAGTGAGATCATCACAGTCCACATCATGGAAATATAAGGGTTAGCACATATAAAATCAACCATAGTACAATAAAATAGAATATCATTAAACTAGATATTCATCAATATGTATCCATACCAAAGAAATGAACATTATAAACAGTTATTTCCATGCCAAATGTAAACCAATCCAGAATCTAATGTATACACATCCATGCCAATGCATACATATTTTATGATAATAAAGAATTCATAACCAATGTATACAATTCATACCATATGTATACATATTAGTTCCACATCCAAAACAAAGTCACACCACTGTATAATCCATGATGCAACCAACACATCCAAACCAAATGTTGGCCTCAACACATCCAAACCAAGTGTCGATTCGGTGCAACATGTCATCAACCCATGTCACACACCTAAGCTCTCATGGAAAATATACAGTTAGATTACGTCGTCACGTAACCCTGGCGATTGTGGCCACTTCATCCATCGGTATGACTCGGCCTTGCCCCATATCGGTAGCAAATAGAATACTTAGAGGAGTACTTCAGAATCCACCTAACATCTGAAGTGGTTCATTATATAACCTTTGGAAAAGTTCCATATTGGAATCCTCACTATGGGACTCCTAATTCCATGTTTTTCCAAAGATTATATCCTGATCCCACCAAGAGATCTACAAAGATTATATCCTGATCTCACCAAGAGATCTAATCCATACCATAACCTTACTCCTCTAAGTTCTATTAGCTTTCCAAACCACACACATATAGCATATTCCATAATTACATACAAACTTTTCCATAACCATGCCAAATCATTCAATATAATAACATAAATAATTAAACACCTAAAACAACCATTAACTTAAACACATGACAATCTTCATATAAACAAAATAGCATATTAAAAATTATACTACCTCTATCATGCTCATACATACTAGATTAAGTCTTATAAGTACTACCCTTACTTGGATAAACAGGAATCGAAACTAGGGCAGAACCTCCTCCTCTCTTTCTTAAACAGGAACCGAAACTAGGGTATCTGGATTTCTCTTCCTCTCTCTCCTCTTTTCTTTCCTCTCCTCTCTCTTTCTTTCTCTCTCTCTCCTTTTTCTCTCTCTAAGGTCTCCTCTTCTCCAATCCTCAATTTCCCAACCCCCAGCCCCCTATTTATAGAATTCTGCCTACCTAACCCGGAACGGCCCGTTCCGAAAGCGAAACGCCCGTTCTAGGCCCAAAAAAATCTACGTAAGTTTTAAAACTGGAACGGCCCGTTCTGAAACCATAACGGCCCGTTCCGGGACTCATCCAGAACGGCCCGTGCTCCTCCCGGAACGGCCCGTACTCCTTCCAGAACGGCCCGTTCCAAAACCAGAATGACCCGTTCTCCTTTTGGAACGGCCCATTCTCGACCCGTTCTCAATTTTAATCCTAGTTCATTTTTGGCGCTTGGAACGACCCGTTCCGCTTTTGGAACAGCCCGTTCCAAATTACCAAAACACCCTATACCTTTATAAAAATTTACGAAAATGTCATTAATAAATAATAATAATAAAAAATGGCTATTACAGAATTTGGCATTCATTGAGGTGAGAGAGGAGTGAGAATCTCACTTTAGAGTGCAGGTTACCTATAGGGTAGTGGAATTGGCCTCCAATTTTGTTTGTATGTGTGTACGATGCATGATGGGATAAACCCAATTTTGATTGGGATCTTAGATCATGGTATCTATGAATTCTCTCATATTTTGATTGTGATGTTATATTATAATTATATTTATGATCTGTGACATTGTCTATAATTGTGAATCTATGAGTGCTTGGGTTCTTAGGAGAAACCTAAGGATTAATACAAAATAAATTATTAGAGAAACAAATGTGAATAGGAAACTTATAGAGAAATAAAATAACTATGTTGTAGATCCCCCTTGTATCACTTATTTTGTAGAGTCATATTTGTAAGTTGTATCATTTGTAATTCGTACATTATGCAAGAAAAACCCTTATTGATATCGCATCAAGTGCCACATAGGTTCGTCAGACGTGAAGCGATAAAAGGCTTTTTATAATGATCACGTTGACGTACATGAGCATGGTCACACTAGGCATAGGAGCTCTAGAGGCTCCCTATTGTGAAATTCTCTAGGCGTAGACAGAGTGCTTTCAACCTCAACCACGTTTCAATTTAATAATTATTTAATTTCTTTAAATAATTAAATTCATTTTTTAATTACTCATTCAAAAGTCAACTTACTTATTGAAGAGTTCAACATAACGTATATTCCCACAATGAGATATTAAACTTCGAAAACTCTTCTAGTTTCTATGTATCTGAATATAAACATGTATCCACATGTCTAACAACTTATCATCGTATATCGTTACAGTTAAGACATCATTCAACTTATGTTTTAACCATACAATAACATAACATCATATCAACTTACATCTTTAAAACTTAATCATCTTTTAACATACATAACAACTTTACAACTTTAACAATTATTAATATTCATCTTACAACATATACATCATCAACGTACAACCACCTTTCACCTTAACATAATTATCATCATACGTCATTTGTCATACAATTCATATATTGTTATTCAACTATAAGGCAACTTAAAATATCATACAACATGTATCAATATACAACTTACATCTTAACATCATCAATTCATCTATCAACTTTCAACATACATATACATCAAGATTTCACAATCAAAACAATATGCAATCATACATCAAGGATTCCCCATGAGCCAAAGATTCTCAACTTTAAGAACCCCTTTTAGTAATTTCATCAAGAGGAACAGGGGGGAGCAACAAAGAATTTGTCGCTTAGCACTAGGAGCAATGTTCAACACCTAATTCTCTATGAGCCCAATGCTCAACATCAGGAGCAACACTCAACATTGAAATCTTTGTGAGCTCAAATGCTTGGCATCAAAAGCAATACTCAGCATCGAGACAAGAACAATCACCAAGTTATTGAACCCCGAAACTTCATATTCACACATGGAACTTAGAAATCAATTACATGCAATATCAAATTTACATATATATGCAACATTTTCAACTGATTTTGAACCACAAACAATACATGCAACTATCAAGACATTAAGATTATCCATTTTTTTTGTCAACTTACTTAAGAGAACATCAAAACACCAAATCCTCTTTGTGACCCACAACTCAAAAACCAATAAATCTAAGAATACAACACAAAATTAGTGATTTTGAAAGGTATTAATCAACATGTATACCACATGGAAACAATGCAAGCTTCCTTTATCTCGTTGACAATTTGAAACTGATAAAAGGAACTGAAAAGACAACGAGCTCCGTACAACTACAAGGAGAGATCCTCAACTTCACCAACTCAGAATCCTCACCACCATGCCTCTAATCAGTTATAAGGAAGGAAGAAAAGGGCTTCTCAGCCGTAGAGGAAAAAAGAATAAGGGGAAGGTTCACTCAAAGAAACCTCTCTCTAGTCCTTCTCTCTTGAAGAGAAACCGTTTTATAATTTCCTTTAGTTGATCCAACCTAACACCCAACACAACTCCTATAAAATAAACACATCAAAACATGATTGTTACTATCAAAAAATAAAAAAACCATTAAAATGAGATATTATGAGTAATCAATTTCAAAAGATGTTAAAATCGTTACTCTCTTGAAGCCCCTTAATTTTTGAAATTATTTAAAATAATATCAAAAGGACGTAAAAATTTGTGAGAAGCCTGTGCATCTCATGCTTAGGTGGCAAATTGATTAACTTACACTACAACAACCTCCTTGGTCCAAGTATATGTGCACAAGCCTCACTATTCTTACTAACCTCTTTATATGTTTATATCATAACTTGATATATAAACCATTCTCCAAAGACAATACTAGCCAATGTGGGACTTCTTCCTTTTTTAATACCTTATATACAACATTTAGTTCATTGAAACAATGAAAATTTGATCCTAAGACTTATAGAGATGCACTTCCTAAATGTATTATTAAGCATGATCTTCCATATAGTTGTGTTGAATTTGAAAGGGTTTAAATTGTGAATAAATTGTTAAATCATTATTTTAAATCCAATTGTAAAAACACTTCAACAATTGATCACATTTGTGACTAGCTATGCTCATTTATAACTAGTGTAAAATATCAATTAATCATATTATAATTTTACTTTTTTTTCATTGTAAAAAAATAGATTTAATTTTTTTCATATTTTTAATTAGGCCAATTTAATCTGGCCTAACATGGGTCAAGTTGGACCAAAAAATAGAATAAAAAAGAATTTAGGTTAAGCTAACGTAGCCTAAAATAATATTTGTCTCGTGTAAGTTAGGTTAGACGGGGCGAATCCAACCTGTTTGACACCTTTTAAGGGTAGGGATGGGGGAGCAAAATCTACCATTGACCCACCTTATTGCCATGCATACCAACTATCAAATGAGCATATCTTTTATATATGTATAAAAAAAAAAGTTTCTTTAAACAAATAATTTGTTTAATTTAAATTAACTCCATTTGTTTTTGGTTTTAACAAATCTTATTATTTTTAAAATATTATTACTATAAGACTTAAATATGATTTTAATCATATAAAATAAATAAATTTTGATTTTGATCCATGATAATATTTTTTTTTTGGTTTTTCATTTCTTAAAATTTGTAAGCATTAATTTTAATTATTAAAAAATAACAAATTTTGGTTTTTCTTCATATAAAATATTTTTCTATATCATTTTCATTATGACGATCGAAATCTAAATTCATTATTTTTTCTTAATTGCCCTTTTAGAGTAAATAAATAACATTTGATTTTAAAATGTATAGAAAATTTTAGAAATGCCATGCATGATCTTATATCACTAATAATCATAAGTAACACATAAAATAGTCTTTTAACCTTTTTAATAAATAAATAAATAGTTTAATTGATTACATAATAATAGAGATTAAAAATAATATTTACAAATTTTAGAGATGAAAAAAATTATAGAGACCAAAATCAAAACTTTCTCATTGGGTAAAGACTAAAATATATTTAAGCATTGTTATAATTATTCTATTATCTTCAAAATTAAATTAAATACTTATATTTTAACTTGTGCATTTCACAAAATAAATGTTTATTATATATAACTAAATTTTATAATAAATTAAATAAATAAATAATATATTTGTATATCTAATTATTTAAAAATTTTATAAATATGTATTTTTATTTAAGATAAATAATTTAAATTGAGACATAAGATTATTATTGATAATTTATTATAAAATATTAAATTTTAATTTATCAATAAATATGACAAATAAAAAATTAAATTAGATAAAAAGTTAAAAATCTTTAAATTCTTTTCACATATATTAAAAAAAAAACTCTTAAAAATACTATCGTGTAAGATAATTATTTTTATTTAATATAAGAAGCTAATTTTTATATACTTGGATCAGTTTCATTCATGGAAAGAATCTAATAAAATAATTTTAATTTATATAATTAAATGATTATTTTTTTATTATCTCAATATATACATTTGTGGGGATTAAAATGCAAAAGTTTAAATAAAACTTTCAGTTTTTAATTATGAACTTCCGAATCCCGACAATGATTTAGAAGAAATTTTAGAAAGGTAAAATAGTTTCCATCTATATATCGATTGATACAGTAAACAAGTATAAATTATTCATGATATTTCTTTTTACAACAGATAAGGTTTGAATCTGTCACTTTCTATAAGTTCTTCAAACCTATAAATATCACACAGTAGTGTTACCACAGTTCCATTGGTTTGTACGTTGCATATATAGATTATGAAATAGTAGTAACAAAGTTTACCAATTATGCAGTGGGATAAGAAGCTTGCATTGCTATTCCACACAATCCTTCCTTAGCAGCAACATCTCTTTGCATCCTAATGTATCCTTGTTCACCCCACTTTACTCCCCACGAATTCTTGATCAACCAATATTTAGTTCCATTATTACTTCCATACCCCACAGCAGTGACACCATGATCCAAGTTGATGCCACATGATGATCCATTAAAGACACCACCTGAATAAAATTGAAACTCGAATCCACTAGCATCAATGGCCACAGAAACTGGTTGGTTAGCCACAGCTTTGAGAAGTGCACTCTCACTATTGGCAGGAACATCCTCGTACCCCTTAATGCTAGCTGCATGCTTGCCTACTGCTTTTGTATTGCATTTTCCATCAACACCCTTATAAGGGTAAATAGATTCTGTAGTGAGTCCTTTGTTTTTCAAAATAAATTTGAAGGCATCGTCCATAAGACCTCCTTCACAACCTTGGTCCACACCCTTTGTGTCACAATCAACGAGCTCTTGTTCCGATAATGAGACCAATTTGCCAGTACTCAGCTTGGTGATTCCTTCTGTTGCTGCCACAGCAGAAAATGCCCAACAACTTCCTGAATGACAAAAATACATTCAATTATAAGTCTTAGTACTTGTAAATTTCAGATATCATCAAATTAAAACACATACCACATTCGCCTTGATCTTTAATGGGCGTGACAGCTCCTTTCTTTCTCCAATCCAATGAAGCTGGCACTGCTGTCACATGTTCATACTTAAATGTGGGTGTCTTTGTTATTGTGGAGCACATATGACCCTTGAATCTATTTCTGGCTTTGAATTCCTCATTTGTGAGATCAGCAAACTGGTTGATGCCTAGCTTGTAAGGTTTGTTTCCAGCGTTGTTAAAGGCCTCTATGCGTTGCACGTTTTCCTTGAATATCTGATATTTCAACTCTTTCTCAGAAGAGTCCATGTAGGTTCTTCCATGTTGAACCATCCACTGCTCATGTCTCTCACGCATTGAAGCATCTTCAAGAGTGCGAGCATTAGCCTCAAAAACACAAAATTCAAGAACCAAAAGTAAAGCCAAAGTCCAATGGAATAGGGTTTTGAAAGCCATAGCAATGACTATGGAAAACTATTTGCTTAGTGAAATGTGAGAAAGTTGAGGTGCTGGTTCCTAAGTTACACTTGAGAGATATTTATATACACTCATTTGTGTTATAACAAGCCATGCACATGGACGTCCATGAAAATTTTTTCTGACTACGACCGTAGCACGCTTTAATTAATATGATGAATCATATAGCTAGGAAAAGTTTCACCTGCGTACGTAATTACGTGTTGAAATCAATTATCGGTGTGTATGAAAGGAAAGATTTTCGTATATTCTTAAGTTGCTCAAAAATGTTGAGAAAACGTAGTTGTATGGAATTAGAATTCAAGTCTTATCAATTGCTATATCATATATAAAAGCTTAGATGTAATATATCATTTAAGTTTTTTGAATTTCTATTATTTGGTCATGGAAGTACACTATTACTCTCTAATTGAGTGTGGTTTTAATATAACTTCTTTTTAATGTTTTTTAACTTTAATATCATGATTATAAATTAATAACTTTTTTCAAAAAGAAGTTAATAATTTTTACATGACCATTTAACATTGTTAACGTAAAATAAACTTTTTAAACAGATTAATAAGTTGAGTTAGGCTTTTAAAAAGATACCTATAAAAAAGTTTATAAAAAATAATAAATTAGATTTAGACTTTAATTTTATAAATCAGACTTAACTTATATATTCAAAGTCTGATGTAATTTATTATTATATTTAACATCAACACCATTCTTAACTATTTTTAATTTTGGGATTATTATTGCATCAAAAAAATTTCAAATTATAAATAATTATTTACCTTAAAATCTTATATCAGATTATAAACAAATAGTGCTCTTAAAGTTGCAATGAGATCAATTTTAGTGTGCACCATTGAAGAATTGTAATTTTTGTCATTTTCTTTTAAAGAATTGAACCTTTTCTTTAATACATTTACAAATACTTTTATATATAATTTTAGTATGTATTAATTTTGAATAAAATTTAACAACATATATTATGTGCTATTATAATTTATATTTATATTTTTTAATTAATAATATACCAAAACATATTAATTATATCCATAATTTAAAAAAAAAAATTTAATAATAAGTATTATATTACTATTGAGTATGTTATTAAATTATTTTTAGTGCATATATAGTTTATATTTAAACAAATATTATATTTCGTGATTTATATTAAAATTTGTTCATCTATTCATAATATATATAAAAATCTTAGAAACACGAATTATGACATTGACAAGCCAACCCTATCCAGCTACATCCATATTTTTATTATGTTGCAAAGTGGTTCAATAATTTAATTCTTATATTTCTCTTAACTAATTAATTTACCAAAGCGTGATCTTATTCTTTTTATAATTTGTCAAATGAATAAGCTTCAATTAAACTGCACAAAATAACTATTAGTTACTCAAAACAATGAGCCACTTTTATATATGTATTACAATGCAAAGTTCTTGTCACCTTAATAATATATTTTTTTCCACAAACACTTGATTAACTTCTCTAATATTATAACATTGACAATATATATTTTAAATCAATCTAGCGAAGACTCCGGATCTTTAGAAAGGAAAATTATTAGATTATTTTAATTTTAATTTTATATTTTAATCATTTGTAATATATTAAAATGGAAATATTTTCTTAACTATATAAAACCTAATTAAATGATCTGTTGATCATATATAGTAAACAAATATAAGGCATTACTGACCAAAAATGAATTATTGAAATATCATGACTTAATACATTTGACACAAAATGGGACAAAACAGCATCTTATCTGCTAAAAAAAATATTATAAAACATGCAGCTTCAAAAATGACAAACTTAACTTCAACAAGGAATAGTTAAGAGAACACAGATATCATGTTTTATGGAGAACATATAATGTTTCCTTCTCTAAATGCTCAGTGACGTAAATTCCTTAGAGAAATGCAAGTGGCTTAGCCAATATCCTAATCCATTATTAGGCAATCGCAATTGTTGAAAGAAAGAGAACTCTCTCTCTCTTATCTTTTTCTCTTAAGTATTGAAAATAAATCCGTTTAAGATATTAATATTCGTAAGACTGGTGAATTGCTTTATGTCTTTTTCTCTTAAAGGATTGAAAATAGATCCGTTCAAGATATTAATATCAGTAAGATTGGTCAGTACGTTGTATTAATTCTTATGGAACGTTAAGTCTGTAATGTTAGAAATAACTCTAGGACACTTTTATTTTTATTATTTTTATGTAGCTCCAATAAATCCATAGGTCCAATGAACTTTTGTGTTTTTTCTTTTATCAAATTATAATATTACGCTAACAATGTTCGAACTTTTGAGATTTTTTTAATATAAATTTATAAACTATAAAATTTTGTAACTAATTTCTTAATCTTTTTTAAGTTTTGTAATTAATTCACTAGTTTATAAACTATTAACTTCTATAGAATATTCTTTATCTTCTCTTTCAAATCTAACAAAATCACTTATTAATTATGTATATTATTAAAGTGAAATCCAAATTTTGAATGAAAAATAATACAATCAAGAAGTTAAGAGTGAATGTATTATTCCTAACAGAGTTTAGTAATGAAAAACATGTAATATAATTTGCATATCCTAAAAATTTCATTAAAGATTCCTCTCTATCCTAAAATTTAAAATCATTATTGACTCACTTTATGGAATGATGCATTTATATAGTTAATATATTTTAACGATTAACTATCATTTAAGGACGGTATTATATTATTAATATAGTTGTCAAAATAGATTGTTTGGGTTGACTCAACAAACCATTAGGTAGACCAAAGTTTTACAAGGAAAAAACTTGTTGCATGAAATACAGTAAGTGTTGGTGGTGGTTTTTCTATTTAAAATTGAAGTTTTACATAATTTTATTAGATGTCCCTATATATTATCAAAGCAAAACATTAATTCTAATTAAAATAAATACTAACAATACTTATAGTACTTATTAAGTTTTATACTTTTAACAACTCTAGCTTTTAAGAAGAAATTATAACTTTCACAATCTATCTAATTATTTTATATGTAATTATCTAAAAAATAATATATATCTTATTCTTTTCATTTCAAAAATAAAAAATAAAAAAAAAACATTTTAAGACACAAAAGTTTTATATTAAATATTTTTTTTAGTTTTTTAATTAAGTTCCTAGTCTTTTACAATTTTTTTCAATTAGATCCGTGAGTATAAGTTAATGGGTCGTAAAAATTTGAAGAAGAAAAAAACAATAACTCAATCATAAATTTTTATAGTTTAGAAACTTAATAAAAAAAACTAAAAAAATTTCAAGGACCTACAAATGTATTAGACCTTTGTTTTACATACTCAATACCATCGTCTAAAATTTATTAAAAGTCACATATTCTTATAGTTCTCATTTTTTTTTAATTAATTAGTCTTATTCATAGTTTTAATTAAAAAAAAAAAAAAAAAGTGTATATCTAGAGGTGTATTGTTGTATTCCCCAAGTTATCCAAAAATTGTGCAAAGATAAGTGCCTTAAGATGAATCCAAGAAATAGGGGACCAGGAAGGGTTGCTTCTACGTTTATAAGTTCCAATATACTGATGCATGAAGGCACACAGGTTTCTTATATTATACATACGTGTACATTCAATGCCATGAAATTGAAACCATCCTTTTCTCAAGTCACAATTCATTAACCATTCAGATACGGATTCAATATCACAGACGACACCCTAAACTAACTCATGCGTCCACACAATATCATGTCAGGTGCAATTTGTTTGTCTATTTATATAAATGGACCAAATCCATCCCCAAAGTATTGTTTAACCTCTCATATTATCCCATAAAACAACTCAACAACTGTAGTCTATCACATATCAATAGACATATAAACATATATCAACAAAGATTAAGAAAAAGAAAGGACCACATCATTGGTATTAATTCTGAATGGATGAAACTTGTTAAAATACCATTTTCTTTTAGAGTGTACAAACTTTAGTTTCATTTAATTTATGAACCTTTCCCTTTTGGGAAGATAACTCACAAAAAGGATATGGTGGTGGATTCTTTTGGCAATGTATATGTATTAAGAAAGTTTATTTCATCTACTGCATAGGTCAGTAGAGTCAGTATCAAATATATTTGTAAGAGAAATATTTCTATGACCAAAACCTTTAATTTAATGTGTATGTAATCTGGTTTTTCTCCAAATAAAGAAGAACCAGAATCTCCTATAATCCTATGCTTTTCTGTACAAGAAACAAACGAATATTTTCCTTTCAAAACAAATTGAAGATAGTCTCAAAACCAGAATATTTGCAGCATCTCTCATGATATCTCGTTGAGCCTTGAACAGAAAGTGTACACAACATAAACTCCTCAAACTTCTTCCCTCGCCAGGTGTAATGTTTTCAAGGGTTGTTGCCATTTGTGATGCAGAATGCTTCAAACCTAGGCTCGGTTAGGTCTACTATTTCCTCTTCTGATGCACAAGAGCCATCAGATTTTGCAGTCAAGAGGATCAAACTCTCCATAGACTCAGCTGAAACTGTATCTGCTTCTTTATTTTTGTTCTCAGCACATAGATTGTGATCAATATATAGTGGCAATGAACTGTGTGATGGAAATTTACCATGTGTAGCTTGCCTTTGCTTTTCTGCGGCCTCTGGTTCCTATAGATATCCAGAAAGAAAAATATCAGGATATAGTTTAATTTTCACTCTACACGATAATGTTCTATGATAGCAGCTGATGTAACATTCAGACAAGCAAATTATACATGAAAACTTCAAATAGTTGAAAAATATGAAACCTTATTAAACTAGAAACACTTCAATTATTAGAAATAAAAACACGAATCATGATAGTGAATGTGTTTACCTGAAAGAGGCTAGTTGGAATGTTTCTTCTCCTCCTAGATTTTCCAGGGGAAATACTTGAAAGAATCTGAACAACCTCACTCATGGTTGGTCGAGTGTCAGGATCCAGCAGCAAACACTCCTTTGCTAAGTATGCCATTACCTGCACCTCCTCTTCTGGGATGTTTCCTTTCAGTTGTGGATCAACCAACTCCGATATTACTCGCCTACTATCCTGTAGGCGAGGAGTAGCCTAAAACAGAATTTGACCAATCTATATCAATACTTGGTTGTCCGTAATCTTTTCTGGTTGAATTCATTAAGCTATGCAACTAGTTCATTTTGAAGCAGGTCATTATCAATAAAGAGTATGTTTGAATAAGTTTCTCTAGAAGTACTTCTAAGTGAGAAAAATATAAAGGAAAATTAAAATAAGTTTCTACATAAAGTAAAACTAGTCTATGCATACGTTAAAAATTAAATTATGGAAAAGCTAATAAAAGGGAACTTCTACAAAATAACTTATATATAAGCTAACTTTAGTTTATGTATAAACTTATTTCATTTTTCCTTCTTATTTTGCTCTCCTAGAAATACTTTTGAAGATGTTTACCCAAACAGGTCCAAACTCAATTATCCTGATTCAGGATTGTAGGTGGAATATGAGATATAAGAATGCAAAAGACATGATGAATCAATGATTGAAATGAAAAATAAAAAACTAATGGAGTCAGAGATGATATAAGTCAAAGACCCTCATGAAAAATTATGTCATGTTATAAACATTTAATTGAGCACATTGAGGATCTTCCTCATATGAACAAATGTAAATTCTGGTTAAATGTTATGAGGATAACTTAAAATACCCATATAACAAGGCTTTCTTCTTTTCCTGTAGATTTATGGATCGGTTGCCGACCACTGATAAGCTCAAGAAGAACCACCCCAAAACTGAAGACATCTGACTCAAGAGAAGCTCTACCAACAATGGCATACTCAGGTGCAAAATAGCCAAATGTTCCCTGCATTCTTGCTGGAGAATTTGAACAGCTGGGGAGATCATCAGATCTCAAGTTTTTAGCCATACCAAGATCAGTTATCTGCAAGTTGGATATTTGAAAAGATTATTGAAGCATACCTTATGACTTAGGTGACAACTACCACCTATGGTATAATCGTTAACTCAATTTCCTAAAGAATCAATCACTTCAGCAGATTTTACTAAAGAAATTCAATGGCGAGAAAGGTTTTACAGAATTTTAGTTATTTTAGTTCAAAACAACCACTAACTGCATGTACTTTCTGTATCTTAATAGCCTTGTATCACAAGTATGCAAATCCAGGTGTATAATTTCTTCTAAAATAAATCCCAATTTGCTACTACCATCCAGACAAACAAGATCCATACCTTTGCTTGCCAATTTTCATCCAGAAGAATGTTAGTTGATTTGACATCTCTATGAAGAATTCTGGGAGCAGCCGCTTCGTGGAGATACTCCAAGCCCCTTGCAGCTCCTATTGCAATCATGACACGAGTAGCCCAATCGATATGTTTTCCAGAAACTCCATCTAAACAGTCCCTCAAATTTCCATTAGCCATGTAGTCAAATACCAGTAACCTTTGAACATGTTTTCCTTTTAACTCTGAGCAGTATCCAAGCAAAGGCACCAAATGGCAATGATGAAGTCTAGATAATAGTTCAATCTGCACAAACAATAACATGGTTAATTACTATGAATGTTGTACAGAAATAAAAATGTTTTAGGTTCATCATTTATCTAGACATTTTGAGACATTATAACATAAAATAACCAGTCAAAGAATACTGATATTGCAAGATTAGGTACAACCTCCTTGAAAAATGCAGAGTCTACTTCTGGCCATCCCTGATCTTTTAGTCGTTTAACTGCCACATTGCTACCATCTTTCAACCGACCTAGGTATACATAACTACTTCCACCTAGCCCAATTAGGTTGGAAGATGAAAAGTTTTCAGTGGCATTTTCCAGTTCAGCTAATGAAAATTGAATAATATTTCCATGATAAGTTTCTTTTGGGCTCCCAAATAAGAAAGAGGCTTTCTGAAAGCATCCTACACAAGGAAAATGCATTAAGAACTAATGAATTAACATAAGAACATTGGAATTTGAGTACACATTCTTAAATATTGAAAAAGGTTACATTTGAGGATTGAAATTAAAATCAAGGAATTACTATTAAAAAACCAACTTACCTGAAATATGACAAATTGAAGAATTTATTGCAAATTTTGTTTCTGGCACTGAAGAAGTGCCTGACCTATGACTAATTAAATTGGTAGTACTACCACTACTTGTTTCCTTATCTGCTGAGAATATTGGTGATTGAATAGTACATCTGTCCCTTCGGTAGACATAGCATACAACTGAGACAAGAAATGCAATGGTTGTGCATATAACACATATTAATAGTATAACTACAACAATCTTGCTGGAAACATGTTTCTTTGGACCTCCTGGCATGCTGACAGTTCCTGAAGAACACAAAAAAAATTATATATTCAGTTTCTGAGTTGCTTGATCTAGGAACAAGCCAGTAATTTTGTATGGAACGTTATAAGCCTTTTCCTATATCAGTAAGACAAAAATACGACAAAAAGAGGCAAAAAATTGTAAAAGAAAAATAAGAAGTGATCTGTTATAGAAAATTTGTCTTAAAAATCCATAAATAAGAGTTTACCCCCCAAAACTTTTCCCAGTATATAAATATCCATTTATGGCTTGACATTAGTCCATCTAAATCAGCTTCAGGAATCAATAGTTAGTGAATCTTAAAGAGATGGAAATTTAGGATTAGTGCAAAAGGGACAGATGGAAAGATACCCCAGGTGCAGTTGCAAGCGTTGAAGCAATTAGGGCTATGACCATCTGCTGCCACTCTGGGAAATCCATTGGGATCACATATGCATGTCCATACAGATGCACTCTCTTCAGCATCTACATGGAAGGAAAAACAGTCACCATATAATATTCAGGCTGTGATCACTGTATCCGCATTTCACCCAAATGGAGAAAACATATTGCATTCCTACCATGCATATTGGTCATCAACCACAATTAGCCACTTTAGCATCTCAATAAATGTAAAACTTTAGTTCCAAAAAGTTCTTTTTGTGCTAGTCAACATTTAAACGTGAATTCTACAATGAAACATTTGGAGGATCAAAGTTGAACAACACCTACTAATATCCAATTAATGAGTTTTTGCCACTCTGTAGTTTGTTCTGCTTTCAATAAATATATTTTGAAATTTATAATAAAAGAAACTTTTATGAATCTAAATGAATTTGATTTACCAGGAACTTTTGCAAAAATACATCCACTAAGCATACACAAAGGCAAAGGTCAAGCTAAATAACCAAGTGTAAGAATATAATAGAAGTGAAAAAGAAAGGGAAAACTCATATGACACAGTACAGAAGAATTGGTTAGGTGTTGGTTAAGAGTAGCTCATTAAAGAAAAGAAAGATTAGAGGGGAGTAGAAGAAGTTTCATTTTAAATTGATAGTATTAGAAATGTTGTACAGCAACATTTGGGGTATTATTAAAGCTTTGTAGATTTTTCTTTCTTTCTTTTCTCAGTTGTCTTGCTTGTAGGTTCCTAAGTCCTAACAAACCACAGCGTAAGGCTCTTGGTCCTCATTCCAATAGAAATTAACAGCATACCTGAGTGGCAATCACATGACTTTGAACAATTAGCAAGAGAGTAGCTCTGGTTCCCTTGGAAAGAACATCTACATCTCCACTTGTTTAAGCTAGATGTATCAGAAGTTTCATCTGCAAAGAATAATGGCAAGAAAAAAACAAAAAAAAAAAAAAAAAATTGGTTCACTTGGGATGCCCAACATATCAAAAACTAACATATTCCTCATATTTTTTGTTTAAGCAGGCAAGCAACTAAATTTCAGAGCATAAGCCATGTTACTGGAAACAATTGGAGAGACAATTACCAAATATTTTCTAAATTGTTATACTAACCACAAAATGAGTGCTGAATCCATAGAAAGCTAATAACTAAAGCAAGAGCAATTTTGAGCTGCGACTTCATTTATTCCAACCCATACACTGCAAGTAAAAGAAAGGAAACCATTTAGATGCCATAGAAATACTTGAGGAATAATGCTCCTCGTGTTATGAAACAAGTCACATATGGTTGATGATTTCCAAAGACAATAAATTCATCTGCTGATCGCAAAAGAAATCATGAGCAACATGTAGCTACATCATTTCAGATACAAGACAGCAAAGAAACAGAAAGAGAGATCTAGAGATTTAACCAATTAATGGCCACAACGTATTTAAGCAATTTTAAGAACTGTGTAGATGGTCAAACTATCAAACTATCAAGATATATGAAAAATATATATGAACAACTTTCAAAAGCATATATGAGGCTGGAAACATGAAAGTGAAGCAACTGACAAAACTTAATTATGGCTTATTCTCAATTGAAATAACTTTGCGATTTTAGAGATCATAATTGAAAAAGAAAGAAAATAGCATCAATTGGCAAACCTATATTAAGAAGAACAGGCTTAGTCTTCAAATATCCCGAGTCCAATCCTCATCTGTGAAAGCAAAAGGGCAAAATGATCCACAAGATTAATTAATCAGAACATTACTAGCTGCACACAAACAAATCAAGATTTTTTTTGGTTTCTAGCCTATGATACAGCAAGGAAATGGACGCCAATCATTTCAATACTGATAAGGGGATAGAAAGTTTCTTTTTTTGACCTAAATTTTACAGCCAGTGTATGTAATTAAGGTAAAAAGGGGTTAGGAAGGAACAAATGCTGGGTTGGTCAACAAACGTCAGAGACATGGTTATTCACCCTCAGCAACATGTACTGAAACAAACATAAAGCGATGGCAGTGGGGAGCTTATTGACTAATTAGCAATGTATAAAAGCAGTGAAGGTTTGAAAATTTAATAGAGTAGATAGCAGCTAAAGGGACTGGAATAGTAACATTGAGAGAGAGTGGCTAGGACTCATAAATTAAAAGTCAACAACCAATTTGCAATAATGTTCAATTGAAGGAAGACAGATGAACCGACAGAATTGTTACATCTTACACCACACAAATAAATTAATACTGGTAGAAGCATGGCTTGAGAATAGCCTCCAGAGTTTATGACTGGAATGTAGCAAAAGAAACCATAGTTTCCACCTACAATTCTGCAAAGCTTTTCAGAATTTGGAGCTAGAAGAAGAGGGTTTTGAAGTTTGTATAATTCAGAACCGGTGCAAAGAAAGTCAAATCAGCAAAACAAAACAAAACAAAAAGAAAGAAAGCTATGATGAGCAACTGAGAAAGCAAAGACTAAGACTAATATAGCTAGGGGGTTTGCAAGGTTTTATAACTTCCCCTCAAATTATGCACGTTTTTCCTTGTTTTGGAAAGAAACTAGTTCACTAAACTGACACAAAGCAAGAAAGAAGTAAATTAGAGTAATGGGAACCAAGCTCACCAACCCCCAGGTTTCATTATTGGAGAACAATAAAGAGCAATAGGAAGAAAATTAGTCACACAAATGGCAAACAGATAGGGAGGATAGAGACCTAACCAAATGAGTCTATTCTATAAAAACAACAAAAACATCTAGATATGAATTGATTCAATTGAAGCTTAAGAAATAACCATCTAGTCCTTCACCTCTCTGAAAGTAACCTATTGCTAACTGAAAACAACCCTTCAACCTCCCTTCCAAATTTACATCTATCAAAATAAAACCACCTCACAGCTCATCTGTTTTTTCACTCATTTCCTGATCCATTCTTCCTTCATATGAACAAACTGACCCACTGAATTTACTCAATTGTCATCAAGTCATAATAGAATCTGTACTTTTTTATAAAAAAAATAAAAAATTAGGGACAGGCATATCCCTTTATTACAAACATGAAAAATGAAGTGGAATAAGCTTGTTTCTATTTCCAAGCACCAAATTTTACTTACTTCAAAAGAATAGAATAGGGTATAGCTAACGGCTAAAAAGATAAAGTACTGCTTTGTCATTTCTTGAATGAAAAGATGCGAGACAAAGAAAGAAAAAAACAGTGAAGGAAGGTAGATAGAGTTTAATGGATGTAGATAAATAAAGTTACATACCATGATGCTATGATAAATAATTTGGGAGAGACAGCCCTTTAAATAAATGTTAGTATTTCGAGAATTGGTCTCTATCTCTCAAGCAGTACTTAAGTTCAAAAAAATAGTTATCATAAAGTTGATCATTATTTGAATTTTAAGTCTTTCAAATAACTACTATAAGAAAACATTGTCATGTCCCTTGAAAATGTGGGAGAGTATTGATAAGATTTTAGTAACGGATCTATAGTTCTATACACATCATTCATTAATCATATATATAACTTAGCTTGAAAGACAAAGGCATATATGGTTAAGAAGTACGTAAACCGTAAAGAAGAAATTCAACGCTAGCTGAGTTGTTTTCATCCCAAGTGTGGGCCCCCAGTGACATGTTGCTTTGTCGTCTGTGGGGTCAGTGTCACTGTGGGGCCACTCGTGAAGGAGAGAGTCAGCACAGAAATCAGCAATGAGATGATTAGATTAGACAAAGGCAATCTTAATCAGCGGTGACTCTTAGATCGTTAGAACATATTAGAAAGCATGTTAATCCAAAAATGTAATCAAATCATGTTATACTCATCATGACCAACACTAACACAACCTATTAACTTTTTCAAAGAAAAGGGTCCTTTGGTGGGGATGGGTGCCAAACCACAATGCCACCTTGTTTAGGTACAGCTATATACGAGAATAATGCCTTATGCCACATGTTTTTGAACTGCGTACCTTAAAGCTTTAGATCTGCCAACTATGGAACGCAACGATCCATGATACATTCAATGTTGGGGAAAGGAAAATGAAAATTTTCGGTGCAAGTGTTGAAGAAGAGCTTAAGAATGTGGAGAAGGTGAAGAGCGTGTTGAAGGGCTTAATGAAGTCACAAGAGAAGAGATTTATGAGGCGCTGGAGGGTAGCTAGCTAGAGAAGCAAGTGATAAGGTGGCAGAACTTAATTACTTCGTCAAACACGTGGTCCTGCTAAGTTTGATCATACATGCAATGAATGAAAAATCTCTTTTTTATTAAATCGCAAAATTTCTATTTATTATTAATTAAATCAAAAACTTACACGAGTAATTAAATATGAACAAGAGACTTTCTTAATCTAAACTTTTCTTTAAAAAAAACATGAATCAGATTATTCGGTGTTATTTTCATAAATTTTATACCAATAAATTGTTGGTTCAGTACTAGTACTTGACTTAGTTTGGAAAAACCAGTATCAACACTTCGTGTAATTGATATAGTTATGGAAAAATTACATAAACGAGTTGTAATAGTGATTTTTCACGTCCACAGTAACACCACTACTGGTTGTAACTTTTGGAATTTTCACATCCGGGACGTAAATTCTGCGTTAAAAATGTATTTTCAAATATGTAGATTGATGAACTGAAAAAAAAATTGTATTACAAGTGTTTTTGTTAAATTAATAGAAATAAAGGGTAGGAGCTTCACGTGACTATAGGCTCTCAACACGAGGTATATCATATCATATTTGTTTATACCGTCTCCACTATATCTAGGACAACTCTAGAGTCTAAGTTTGCGATGAAAGATCTGGAGATCAGGAGTTTTATAAAAAGCAGGTCAAACCCTATTTAACGTGGGAGAGAGTAGGAATATAATAAAGGATTTGAATTCTTTTAGAAAAATCAAAATTTTAAGATAAGAGCGGTGCCTCATTCAAAATAGGGATATGAATTCAAGTAATAAATGATGAAACGACTTAATATGTTATTAAGCCTAAAATAAATTTTAAAATAAATTTTTTAAATTAATAATAATATTTTTAATAAAAAGATAAAAAAAATATTTTAGATATAGATTTTGAAAAAATAATTTTATTTATAAATTTTTTAAAAATAAAATTTCAATAATATAAAAATGATTTTAAAATTATGAAACTTAAAAAAAAATCATATAAATATTAATATAAAATATTTTTCTTTTAAAAGATAACTTAAAATAATTTATTGACCTCGCCCTTATACCAGTCTGTATTCAAACTTAAAATATAAGTTTAGATTGAAAATTGAAAACAAGTAACAACTAACTCATGTAAGATAGACTTCCATAGAAATATTAGAGCATGAAATTCCTGATTGTCTTGCAAGGTAATAAGAGGATACAAAAATATGAGCAACTCTTTCATTTGCCCATAAGTTTAAATATTGTTTAAAGCATATGATATGCTTTGAAAGATCAGATTCTAATGGTGGCACCAGCAGATTTTGAAATGTCAAAAGTATGTGCATTTAGATATGTACATTGTCTTTGTTACGTACTTTTAAGTTTTTATTACTGCTTATGGAGTGTCATTGAGCGAAAGTGTTTGCCGAAAGTATTGTTGAATTAGAATCAACAAGCGGTGCCTCTTGAATTCGATCGAATATAATAAAAAATGAAAGCATGCAATGAAATCCCATGCCATGTTATGCAAACAAAAAAGAATCAAAAAGTAACAAAATTAAAAGAAAAAGCATAAGGAAGATCACCCTTTTGAAAAGAATCAGAAGCACATATTATATGATATGTATATAATGAAGTGAAGAAATTCACCCGCACAATTCAACCGAAAACAATAGGGTTATATACAACACTCAGAATCACACTAAAATATTCGACCTGTGCATCCCTTTTCGCCATTCATTCTCTGCTGAGCCCCATTTCCAGCCTATGCATTTACAGTTTCCATATTGGCAAAATCAGGAATTTTGTCCACCTAAAACTCCTTCCTTTCCATTATACCCCACCTTGACAAAAAAACAAATCAAAGGGTAAAACAAGATTAGAAGAAACTCAAAGGTTTCCCCAAAAGTATATGTATAGGCCAAGTAGAATTTTCCAAACATAATTTTTCATTTTTATTGCCTTCTCTGCCTCTCAGGAAATGATTTAGCAGGCCTGAGGACACGTTTATTTTGCGGCGCCCCAAATACCATGGTCTGTGAACGGGTCACCATGTCAACCATGGAAGGAGTTTGGTATGATTGCACAAGGCTGGAGCTGTCTGTGGAATCGCCACGAGCTGTTGCCCTTTGCCAAGAATGTGAACTCAATCCGGACAGAACATAAGCCCTTCCAGACTGCTCATATATGCGTTGATTTGCCATCCTCTCCTGCATCTCCTTCAACTCTGCAGAAAGAGAAACACACAACCGATCCCCGGCTTGAGCAGAAACAGTTTCAGATAACGCCTTATGACAGGTGTCCAGGACCGAAACTGCAGTTGACAAATCACCACGTTCGGCTGCAACTCTAGCCTCAGACATTGCCTCAGCAGCTCGAAGCCTGTTTCGCTGTCTGTCTACCTCTATTGACACAACAAGTTCTCCATTTCTTACATCAGGTCTCTGAATTTTTACTTCACTAGCTTCTTCCAAAGCCACCATTTCTTTTGTTATGGAATCTCGGTAAAGACCTCGCACAATCAATAATGACATCTCATCACTTGATTTATCAACCGGAACATTAACTGTCACCAAAAAGTCCCTTTCCTCTTCAGCATACAAATCTCCTACATTGATAGTAGCCAATCTTGCATTCGCCACCAAGCTTGTTTGGTAACTTCCTGCTTTTACCGAACTAAGTTGCAAATGTGGGTGGACACATTCAACTTCTACTTGTAGTTCTTGCACCACCACACTCAAGAGTCCCCCAATACACTGTGCAAATGCATCCTGAATGACATCCTCGGCTTCGATAAAAGAAAACGTACCCCCAGATATCTCAGAGATTGAATGCATTGAAGTAGCATCATGGTCACTGCCAAAGCCAAATGCATGCACTGGTATCTGCATTCCCATACCATTGTTACGATGAATGGAGTTTGGAACAAGTGACTGGTAATCTGTTCCACTATTTGGCCTGCTATTGACTGTGTATGTATCCTGTCCATCAGAGAGTAATATGATGCTGCAAACTGAGTTCTTCCACCGCCGGTCAGCAAACACCTTGGCGCCTTTCCTCAAGCCTTCAGCAATGTTTGTCCCACCATTTGAAACCAAAGAATTGACAGCCTGTAATGCCTGCTGTCGTCCAGTGTCAGTCATCTGCCGAAGAGGAAAGATGCGACGTGCTGTGGAGGAGAAGGCAATGACAGACAGCCGGTCTGATGGACCAAGATTCTGAATGACGAAACCCATCGCCCGTTTTAGCAATGCTAGCTTAGTACCCGCCATGCTGCCACTAACATCAAGAACTGTAACAAGGTCAACCGAGGCACGAGAGTTCTCAACAGGTGATGATCCAGTACTGTTTCCATCAATATCAGGTTTTGTCCCTGAATGAGGAGCTTTGAGATGAATTAGTACAGCGAAGGCATCATGAGCGGCTGATTTTGGAACAGCTGAAACCTCAGGATATGTTTTGATCTCCACTGTATTTACTACATTGTGATCAGTCTCATTTTTATGAGGGCTAATTATAGTTTGTTGATCCAGGGCTTCATCATCATCAAAAACAGCTGGTTCGGTAACATGATAAAGCGATGAAATCTGCCGACCAGCCTCACCTTGAGGAGAAGGAAGCCTCCGAATGACAGTTGTCCAGCCTTCATCTCGAGGAGATACTTGGTTGATACGAGCCATGTCATGGGGAATATTAGAAGCAGGGCTTTGAAACGGAACTTCTTTCCATTTTGCTCGGCAGACGGGGCAAATCTGGTTCCCGTGTTTCACATTTGAAGTGATGCAGTGAAAATGGAAAGAGTGAGAACATTCTGCAGTGAAAATGGCATGGCCCTGCCCTGGTTTCATTGTGTAAAGGCATATAGCACATGTCCCCTGCACACAATGTGGATAAAAAATGTCAGGAAAAGAAGGCACTCTAGGTGCAGTAATAAGTAAGAAGGCTTTCAGGCTAATTGAAGCAAAAAGTGTACAAAATAGTGACCACAATGATGAAATTTTATCAACAAAGGTCCTTGTAGAGATAAAAATAAAAAAAATAAAAATGAATAAAATAAAAAAGTGTCAGCAAAAATCTACCCTCAAAACAAAGAGGAAGGAGGAAAAAAAGATCCTTGTTGAAGACTATTTTGGAATGTAAAAAACAATGTAACACTTATTTGACAAATCTATCAAGATCTGATTGTTAAATTAAGAAATAATCGACTATGAAGAAAGAAAATGAGATCATAATGGAATTTCAGACAATGTTTAGAAATTCCAAAATGCCTGCTCATTGCAATTGCTGAATTATATCATCACTTTAGCTTAGACTGGATCAGTATTACCTTGAGCTCAATATCGAAATCAGAAAGGCTAAACAGGTTATGCCGGACAAAAATAGTACTCAAGTTGAAAGAGAGAAAAGAATGTTTCCATTAAAACTACTCATTGAAGAGTGACCAAACAAAAATCTCAGGAATTTTTATTAAAAAAATTAACAGATATTGCCCCACTAAAAATAGTTATTTCAAGTGTTGGTAACTAAAAGAGTCTGGAGTGCCCTAAGAGGAAATCATGGATATGACTTTTCCATTCAAACCACATCCAAGTTTAAGGCAAAATCAATGATTAAATTTCAAATTTCTAATAACCAGATATGCCATTGAACACACCATTCAGAAACATGTTTTGAAATCATCTAAGAGTTTTATGAAATCAAAACTTGGAAAGAAAAATGTGTCCGACCATTAAAGACTCATGGATGTCAATTACAAACAACCTCAACCTTTTCCATCCATCAAAGTCACTATCAGGAATGGAAAGAATCAGCATCCTCCCCACAAATATATCAATCATTTTTAACTGTGATTTTAAAAATAAACCAAATTGAATTGAAGAAAACGTAAGGTACCCAGCTAATGACAACAATTAGTCCCAGGTTCAAATCCCACAGTCAGTGATTGTATTTCTAGATTGAAGGTCTTTAATTAAAATAAATTATATTTAATAATTATAATTTTCAATAATGGAAAACATGGCCACACACATACCTAGAAGTATGGACTATGGGGACATGGATCCAAATATCCATACTAATATCTCAATTAGTTAATTTTATTAATAACTAAAAGAAAAAGCACTAAATTCATTGAATCGGCGAATCTGAACAGTGGCTAAATAAAGTAATCATTGATAAATGTAACATTTGCAAAGGTCACTATTACACCATAGTGTATTACACTGCGCTCCTTCTGTCCCAATGCAGGTCCACTAGCAAGACCATTGCATAAAAAGATGAAATAGAATGCAACCTATCTTTTTACCACAGAGACCTAGATTCTCAGCCAAAACCATAACATAATACAAAGATAAAACTAGGTCAACGTTCCCTGGTCAAAGACTTTGAGGTCACCAAGGAAAAAAATATATAACAACAATCAACAACCGTCTTTAAAAAAGACAAATCCGCAACTAAAAAATTACAAATGTCATCGAAAGAAGGCGAAATCAAAGTTGATTTATTCATTGGTCTACGATCTTTATCTTTATTAATTTGCTTCATTATTTATTTATTATTATTATTTTATTTTCCTTTAGTTGATTGATTATCCTGCAACTTTTTTTTTTTGTTTGCATGTGGGAAATTCCCAATCAACGGCTATGGGGTCTCATGTGGGGATAACAAAGGAAGGGAAAGGAGAGAGAGAAAAAAAAAATCAAAAAATGTCTCCACTGAATTGAACAGTACACAGTAAAATGAGTGATGGAGGAAACGAGAAGGGTGTAAAATGCAAACCATTTCTAATGAGCCAAGCAACGTCCTTAAAAAGGGTAGGCACAGTATTCCACTTTATGCCATTCCCCACCCATAATGGAGTTGAAAATAACACAACCCAGAACGAAACGTTTCCGCAATAGTCAGAATGCGTCACACTCCACCATACCCCAATTAAGAATACCAAAGTGTGATTAAAGATGAAGTTGATGTCCATCAAGTCATCTTAATTGATAGCAATAATAATAATAATATTATTAATAATATATGCTAATTAATTTTTATAGGGTTACATAATACATACTAATATACAAATTAAGGATAAGGTCAATTGATGATAACAATAGTAATAGTAATTTTAATTTTCATCATACAACACCAAGAGAACAAAAGAAAAATAGAAATAAAGATTAAAAAAAATGGAATGAATGTGGCTCAACAGAAGCAGTGCAATTAAGAATCTACCATGGAGATTCAGTGGTGAAGGTGAAGCAAAAGGGAAACTTTAGAAACCCCACAAAAAATAAAAGATAAAAACTGAAACTTTTATGTTCAAAGGGTCAAAGGGTAATTAATAATGCTAACCTTAGGTGACTTGGGTCCGGATTTGGGTAACCGGAGGCCAGAAGACGACGGTGTTGGGGTGGAGGGGCGGTAGCCGGAGGTGTCACCGGGCGGCGAGACGACGGCGGGGGAGATGCCGCCGGAGAATCTTGCTGCGGCGGAGGAGGAGGAGGAGGAGTCATCAAAGGCTCTAGGAATGTGAACGCAGGAATCCAATCCAAGAACAAGCTTCAATTTTCTCCATTTGCTTCCCATATTTTCTGGTTTCTTGTTTGAAAAGGGTTGGGAGATGGGTGTTCTAGAAGTGACCCAAGAGGGTGTGGGGGTTGGAGAGGAATGTGTGTGGGTGAAAGATTTGAACTTTGGAGTGGGGAAGAGGGAACATGCTACAAGGGTAGTAGGGTTTAGAGAGAGAGAGAGAGAGGGATAGTTTGGCTTCTTTTAACTAATGGGGTGGTGGAGTGAAGGTATGAAAGAGAGATGATGAGTGGTCTCTGGATAGAGAGGCTAGCAGCACCTTGCTTAGCTCAGATGCTATTCAATATTATTGTACACCAATTACCAACTCAAACATTGAATGGACATTAAAAGGAAAGAGGAGCAAGTAGGATAAGTAAATGTGTAATAAATAGAGTAACTACTAAGTAATTAAGTAATTGTGTAATAAATAGAGTAACAAATAAGTAATTGTGTAATTTTAGTTAGAGTATGTTCATAGCCTACATCAAAATTTTAAGAAAAAAAATCATTCATTTTTTTATTTAATTAGTTTATATAAAGAATATTATAATAATTTAATTTATTTTTAAATAAAAATAAAAATATTTTCTCTCTCCTCTTAATTTTATTATCTAACTCATTTCTCTCTTCTATTAATTAATTTCTATTTGTTTATAGAGATGGAATGTCGTGAGAGATAAGAGAGAAATGAATTGAAGAAGAGGATTAATAAGAAAAATAAAATGTTTTATTTCTTTTACCTCACAATATCCCCTCTCTCTCAACAAATAAAAACTGATTAAAAAGAAGAGAAAAATGAGTTGAAAAATGAAGTTAATAAGAAAGATAAAATGTTTTATTTCTTTTATCTCATGATATCCTTTCTCTAAATAAATAAAAATTAATTAATAGAAGAGAAAAATAAGTTGGAGAATGAAGTTAATAGGAATGAAAAAATATTTTTATTTTTTTAAGTTAAATTAAATTACTATAATATCTTTTATACAAATTAACCAAATCAAAATAAATGAGTGATTATCTTGTTCTAAAATTTGGGTATAAGTTATTAACATACTCCAATTAAAAAATAGGTAACGTATGTTAGCAATGCCCAACTAATAATATACTCCCCCTTTCACATAATAAGTAATATTTTAGTTATTTATACATACTTAAAAATTTAATAAATAAATAGAATAATAATTTATAAAATTAATTTTATTATTAATTTTTTAAAGAAATTAATATAATATAAAAATCACTTCTTATATGATATTGTTATTATGGTATAAATAATAATAATAATAATAATAATAATAAATACTATATTAAAAAACTAACACTACACCTATTTTTAGAATTTATATTTTTTTTAATGAAACACTTATAAAGTGTAACACCCTGAATTTTCTACTAAATACAATATTAATTATTATTTATTTTTATAATTATTAACATTATTTTTTTATAGTTATTTTAGTTAATTAAAGGGGTTTTATAGAATATTGTAAATGTTTGTAATAATTTAAATTATTTATGAAATTTTTTATATAAAATTGTTTCTTTAGGCTGGAACGGGTTGTTCCAAAAGTGGAACAGGTCGTTCCAAACAAAGAAAATATACTGTTTTTGAATGACCAGAACGGGCCGTTCCAAAAGTGGAACGAGCCGTTCCAAAGTAGTAAAGAGGCCTATTTGGGTTTTTCCAGAAGGGGTTGTTCCCAAAGGGAAACGGGCCGTTCCTGAATTCTAAAAATACCTAGAAAGTTAAGTTGGAAACGGGTCGTTCTGCTTATGGTCAATCAGTGTTAACACGAACCCCAGAACAGGCCGTTCTGATTTTAGAACGGGTTGTTCTGCTTTTTGAAAACGGGTCGTTCTGATTTTAGAACAGGCCGTTCCAGTTGAAAGTTTTACATGTATTCGAAGGATCTGGAACGAGCCATTCTGAATTCAATACGGGTCGTTCCGGGTACACCAGAATGCCTATAAATAGGAGGTAGGGGGTGAAAAATTTATAACTGAGTGAGAAGGTGAAAATCTTAGAGAAAGAGAGAGAAAGAGAGAGATAGAGAGAAAGAGAAAGAAAGAGAGAGAAAGAGAAAGAAAGAGAGAGAAAAAAGAAGAGGGAATCCAGAGTAACAAGGTCCTGCCCAAGTTCCAGCTCCTGCTTATCCAAGTAAGGGGGGGAGTGAGAAACCTTGCTCGGGGGTGTGGGGATAATTGTTGGATAGTCTGATTGTCGGATTGGCCCCCAATCCCTTGCCTGTGGCATGTTCCTTTGAACATGCAAAGTATTAATGTGTTCTGTTTTATTTTTTATTTGTTCTACCTTGTTCCTTGTTGGAAGTAATAAATGCATATGTAATTAATGTTAAAAAATAAACAAGTTTTAATATGCATAAAAATGATCTTTGTGAATTCCTGTGCGGACCATATGAGGAGTATTTATGACATGACCATGTGAAATATGTACAAATGACATGAGACATAAGAATGGACTATTGAGACAAGCTGTGATTATGAGAATATGAAAAATGATGACATGATGTACTTAATAAAATTCTGTAATAAGTCAAATGTTGAGTCAATGAAATAATGAATGTATGACATGCATCATATACATATGACTCCAGGTGTGCCGCTGAGGCCGCATACCAGTGATGCTAACATGGTGTACCTTAGGGTCACCCACGACGTAACATGCTAACAAGGTGTACCTTAGGGTCACCCACGACGTAACATGCTAACAAGGTGTGTCTTAGGGTCACCAGTGATGTAATATGCTAACAAGGTGTACCTTAGGGTCACCAGTGATGTAACCAGGTGTACCTTAGGGTCACCAGTGATGTAACCAGGTGTACCTTATTAGGGTCACCAGTGATGAAATGTGAAACTTTCTTATGGCGCCACATGCATGCATTTATGAGTCAAGTCCATGACATCATAGCATGATAAATGAGTATATATGTAATATTGATTATTTATGTGTATTGTTTACATGTAACTTATATTTGTTGTGTGTGTGTGTGTGCTATTTAACCTTTATTCCTTCACCTAAAACTGAGTGAGATGTTTCTCACTCCCTTGTTGTTCTTGTATATGTTTAAATTATGTTGTAGGTGATCATCATCATGGGGATGTTGGTGATGAGGCTTAAGGCTTCAGTTGGGCATGCTCTGATAGGATGTGACATGGGGGCATAGCTAGCTTAGTCTAATATGTTATTGTTTTAATAACTTTAGTTTCTTTTCTTTTGTAATTTATAGCGAAGAAATAATGTAAATAAAGTTTATAATCTTTCTTTTGTAATTTTAAACGTTTTTTATAAAAGACCAAAATATGCATCTTTGCTGGAATTAATCTATATTTTTCTTTATATGATTTCTTGAGTTTGATGTTTACATGTTGACTTTTTATGATTTATGAGTTACGAATATGAATCTTCTACCTTATGATATTTGAGACAATTATTTTATCCATGAAAGAGGTTGTTAATTATGAAAGATTTTATTTACTTAAAAAAAATTATTGTTTACATTTATTGTGTATTAATGTTGGGGTAGAGGGTGTCACATTATGTGACGGAAAGAGTATCATTTACTCTTTTATCTCATAATTGTGATAATAAAAAAATTAAGTATTTATAGTTTTATTTTAACTTTTTTAAAGTAACATTAATTACTTCTATTTTATTTATGTTCTTAATAGTACTAATTTTTAACTTGTATAATACACATGCATGTTTATTATAAAATAAAAAAAAAAATATATATATATATA